CAGAGAATACCCTCAGAGCTGAGCATCCCAGCACAAGTGCTCTTTCATGTAGCGCTGACAAAATCCTGAGAACATGCGGTCATGTTTTGCATTTCTAATGCTGTATGTACTCCTTAGTGCCCCGAATCCTAAAAACAGAACACAAATGATCTTACTGATTGCAAGTGTTACACAGTCACAATTAAAATTGCTTCACTATTGCTTCATACCATCTTTTTTAAAGTGAAGACAGTGGATCGATTCTTCTATTCTTTGTTTACCATCAGACAAGCAACTTTTTCCCATACGGATGGAGAAACCCGAGGCCGTGCTCCTATTAATACAAGAATTTGTATTAGCATGAAAACAACAAGCCACTGCTTGATCTGGGAAGGCCAAAGCACTTGATATATTTGCAAAGACATGAGCTTGTTGTATTTAACAAGTGCTGTTCTCAGTGTTTCCTCCTGCCACAGAACAGCACATCTTCTCACCTGCGCTGGGGAGGCCCGATACAGCCGAGGGTTTGGCCTCCGTCACGTTGGGATTGTGGTTCAGAGAATCTCTGTGATCTGCTGAGTCTCTTCTCCGTGAACCTCTAAAAAAATTCAGTTTTCTCTCTGAACTCCCCATCCTAATGCCTTTGTACCAAGGCTTTTGGTTTTGGTTATTGCACCTGCATTTTCTCGCCAATAGCATGGAGTGTTTCACTAAATTTGGGCTTGATTGTAGAGGAATATTAATACAGAAGAGACAACACTTCCTTTTCTACTTCCTCTTCCCATAAATAAATACCTCCACAGCTCCTGCCACATCAGTTTCAGTGCATTTTAGTTCTCTTTAACAGGAATTGAAACTCAGGCTTTAGAAAAACAATTCTCTTATGCTTAATTAGGGCACTGACTGAGATGGGGTGGCAACAGCCTGTCCCACCTCTTCCATATAGGCCTAAATCTGAGTCCCTTGCTCCACAATAAAGCTCTGGGTATCTGTTACCAATGAGGACAGCACAGGGCTGCAGTTACCATCCCTGCTGCCTCTTCTCCACCTGATCCCAGCATCCCCATCCCGGGCATCACGTGCGCTCCCACTGCCCTGGGTGACCTCATCCTCTGACCCACAAACCGCTGCGTGAGGATAAATACCCAAAACGTTGACTTTCAATACTGTTCCCTTGGGACATGGGGATTCACTGGCAGGATCAGAGTGTAAGGAAGGAGTAGATGGGAAATAATTATGAGTGAGTGCTGAAGGGAGAGTGCTCAAAGCCTTGGCTTTGAAACGTGCCTGCACACCCACTACAGCTAGGCAAAAACAGCTCACATTTATTTGTGCATCTTCTTGCATAAATAAAGCCCTGCTGACTTGCTTTGATGGCATTTACGACCACATTTATTCATAAACATTAGAGTGAGCAAGTTTTTATTTGCAGGAGCATTCATAGAAAACAGAAGCGTTGTGAATTCTGGTGTGAATAAATACCAGAGAGCTCTCACATGAGAAGGGCTTCTGCAGTCATTAAGTAAAGCTCCTTTTACTATGCGCACCGTGGAATCAAACAATTACAGCTGCCCGTGAACTGCTTACAAACAGGGAAGGGAACTGTTTAGAAAGCTCAGTTAGCCTCAATTAGGCAGCAGAAATCGTCTCCTGAAGATAAGCAGTCATGTGGTCGAGTGATGATTGCTCAGGGCTCCATCCCACCTCACTCCAACGTCTCTTTACATCTTTTTGGCAGCGGATGAAAATGTTTCACGAGCAGAAAGCAGGGTGGGCTGTTCGTATTCATTTGTGGGATTATTGACCTTTCATAACTCACGGTTGCCTTTCATGCCATCATTTGGTTTAAGAGATTGTCAATATCTCTGGGAATAAATCAGCTCTCCAGAGTGAGTCCGTTTTCTTACTGTAATTAATGGCAAATAGATCCATCTCTGCATCCTCAAACACGTGGCGCTGTCACTGACTGACTCACCTGCCTTCCACTGCCAGCATTTCGTGGCTGGGATGGGGACAAAAACCAACCCACTGAAGGGAAGAAGTATGTAAGCCCAATGCACTGCCTAGGCGATGGTCCTCAGTGGCTTTTGAGACATTCTGGAAGGTGGTCTGCAATCCTCCAGGCTGCTTTGTGTAGAGATGAGTTGTCACTAGCTAATGGTCTGTGCAGTCTGGTGCCACCAAGCAGGGGTTCGTGGAGTCCTCTAAGGAAAAAGGCCACTGCAGGGTGTGGGTAACTAATGCTCCTTTGGTTTGTGTTTGAAGGCAGCAGCAGCAACAGTGATGACACAAATTAATTGCACGGTTTTCGGGAGGTAATGCAGACGAGGTAAGGAGAATTACTATGCAATTAACATAGTTTCCAATTAAAGTCCTCCGTAGTTACTGAAAAACATTAATTTCTAGTAACGTGGTAATTTAACTTGTGTCACCACTGTACATGGATCTCCAGCACCAGGGCAACAAGTGGGCTTCTCAGTGCTGGAGCCTTGCATGAGAAACAGGAAAAACAATCTGAAAATAGCTGTCAGTTTTTAATAGCTGCTTGTGGTCAGCTGCTCACAAAACACCATTGTGGTGAGGAGAAGGGCTTGGTAACAGATCGAGGAACCACAGTGAACAATGGCAGCCCTCAGCCTGAAAGGACTATTTGAATAAACTCTGCGTGTTTCCAACACTACGTTTCTTTATGAACACGTTGCAAGAAGGCTGAGACAAACGGAACTTTTTCTCCCCTTCAAGTTTGCCGTCGGGATGGCAGACTGACATTTTTCCTCCTAACAAGTGCACTGCAGCTCTTCTTTCCGTGTGCCCATTCCCAGCACAAAACCTCCGACCCAAAGGCCTGGAGCAGCCGCTCCTTTCTGCTTGGTGCGAGGTCAGATCCAGCCCAGTGGGCAGCTGCACGCAGCCAGGGCAGCTCGGGAGGCAGATTTGCCCCTTAGCTCCAGCTGGCTCCTGGTGTAGGCCTGCAGGAACTTGAGCCGTGCTCTGCACGTACCTGCAATGTAGAAACCAGCAATGCCACACTCAGGAGCAAGTCCACTGCACAGCTCTGCCTTTTCTTAGTTTCATGCAGCTGAGTACCGCTCCCAACTTCATTACTATTGCAGGCTCCTGATCTTTACAGTCTCTAAAGCTTATTACATTTTATTATTATGACTACAACAACAGAAGTTGTAAATGGAAAAGGCATTATTGATTCAGCTAATCCACTGCATGCAGGATTGCTCTCTGCTGCGTGTGTCGGCCTTTGGGCCAGGTTGGTTGGCAGCAGCCCAGCATCGGCCCTCCAACACTTCTTGCACTGTGAAAACACGATGCAACTGCACGCCTGATTCCTGCCTGCTGTCACCCAAAGGATCCAGTGGACATTGTGCATTCTTTGCTGAAGCTCCATGAATCTGAGCCTCACTAATCAGGAGTCTCCTATTTTCCAGTTCCCAGTGACATACCCAATTCTCCTCATTTTGACATCTAAATTCCATAAATACGTCGTTTACTCCCTCTTCTGGGCTATTAATGAAAAATATTAAGTAAGATCCAAGCCAAACATCCTCACATACATGCAGCATGTAAAAATATTATGCCAATTATCGCTGTGATTTAACCGTGCAGAGGTTACTAATTTAGACAAACGATGTGTGCCTTTGTTTTCTGTTTCTGAAAACGACGAAACCACCAATAATCTCATTCTGGCTCCTTGGAATATTAACTCAATTAGCACCTGAACACGCAGGCTCCAGCCCTGACACGTGCACACACCCGAGCTGGCTCTGCCTGAAGCCCAACTATTCGTCATTTCTTTCTCATAAAAGGCAAAAAGGTGCTTTAATGAATACATGCGCTGCTTATTTGGAGAGACAACATTTGTGCCTTCTGTGCCTGAATGGCACTTAGCATGGGTTAACATTTGGTTTACAACGCAACAATAAAATTTGTCTTTATTGCAAATAAACACAGTATTCACACCTTACAGTATTTTTTTAGATGCAGGATTATATTCACTCTTAGAGGCTCTAATACAAATGAGGAAGGCGCACGCATTTCTGTCTCACACCTTTTTATTTTCTAAGCAGCGTTAATACACGTTTTAAATATTGCATTTACGTCGTTAAAACATGAACCTGTTTATGTACACTTGTTTGCAGTTTGAGAACACACGCTATCAAGTCATCATTTGTACAGTAACAACATATAAAAAAATAATCACACCTGGAAATTTAAACACCCACTGCCCTGTTTGCTTCGATCTAGAAGCTGCACCAGTAGGGAAGGAGCCTCAGCACTGCAATAGCTGGATCAGGAAACAAACACCACTCTTCTAGTAATTGTCCTCAGCTGCTTTGATTGGTTGCAGTTAATTTAATAGTATAACCTTTAAAAATTGTGGGGCAAGGTAATACTTTATCTTCACTCCTCATATTAAGGTTCCAAAGCAAGCTTAATGAGAAGCCATTATAAAATCATACTGCTAAATAGTATCTTAACTCACAATTGAGCCTATATAATTATACCAGTATTGCAACTGACAATTACGACTGCTGTATCAAACTCCCATCTGAGCAGCGCGGTGTACGAAAGGTAACTCACAAGTACTGCACTAACTGCTACTTGGGCTTAACGTGACCCAGCTCAGAGCTCTGCCCTCAGCACATGCAGCACCACGGTCCCAAAACCCAGGGCTGGGTGCCTGTGATAGAAAACCAAAGCGCTGAGCTCTGCTCAGGACCTGTCCCAGACGGAAGAACGCGAGGGCTGCAGGGCAGGGCTGGGAGCAGCTCTTTAGGAGGTGACACCAGGAGCCAGGCACACGTCAGCAGAGCTGGCTGTAAGCAGCGCCACCCCTGCGCACCAGCGCCAGGCAACCCGCACATCATCCAGCTAGTGGTGAACCACAGCAATTAGTACATTTGGAAATGACATTTTGAAGACTATTAACATATAAAACATTATCCTCTTTATGAAAATAGACCAATTTCAGCACGGCTTGCCTTGTTGGAGGAGGAGGACACATTGTATTTTATTTTTTTTCTGAAGGCAAGTGTTCTCCTGGACAGATGCCAATCACCTGGTGGGAAATGTCCTTACAGCAAGACAAACTCCTCAGTACTAAATCTCTTTAATCTTTTCTTTTCATCCTCAGAGAAAAGGTCATTTTCTTCATGGAGTGGACTGGAAGCAAAGTCATAGTCTCTGGAATGACCCTTCACAAAAGTAAACAAGGGGTATTTTTCCTTGGATGAAGATTTCAGCATCTACAATGCAAAACACCAGATATAAGATGTCACAGCGGAAATGAAGAAATACGGTGAGTAGTTACATTAATCTGATTATGGCTGTGAAATGGACAACGTATCTCTTATTATCTTAATTATCATACTAGAACCACGCATTGCACAGGCTAAACATCCCCTCCTCCTTTTAAACTCCATTTCTTCTTCTTGTGATAGTGAAAAAGCCACTCTGATTCCTTCCTCTTTACTGTCATTCAAAACTTCCCACTTCATTCTATTTATTATAACGGCCACTGGCTGTTCTAAGGTGAAAGCTGGGGAAAGGGCAAGGAGATGTGGCAAAAGCATACGCTGAGTAACAAGCAAAAGCAAAGGAAGAGTAACAGATGAGTATTTGCAGAAGATAGGAAAAAAGTCGGTCAGGAAACAAAGCATTTGTAAGTCTTATGAGACCACACAGCCAGATAGGAGCCCACAAGTAAAGTCAGATATTCGGGTTTTATTTATTTTATAACAGAAAACCGTGCCAAAGTATGTATTTCATGACTTTGAAAAGGCACCAAAGAGTACATCTGGCAAAGTTCTCATTTCTAACAGCACTTCACACCAGCCGTTCTGGAGATCTGAAGCTGGGGTTGGTTTATAATACGGAAAAACAAGGAACCCAGCTGTAGGACATTCTTACTGCAGCTGAATCTGCCTTTGGCAAAGGCAGAGGCCAAACTCAAGAAAAATGGCTCCTGCTCTGTTTTGCAGGCATGCCTTATGTGGTACAAAGGAAGCACGTGTGGGACCCAGAGCTGTAACTGCTGCAATAATTCTCTAACAGGGGAATGGCAGTGGATAGGTCTATTTTACTTGCAAGTTCTTCAAATGCCACTGTGATGGGATTTCTACAGTGCTTTGATAACCATCAATATTTTTGCTATTTCACTGTTCAAGTCTGGATGCATTTTCTTGTCCCTCAATCTACCAGCTATTTAATTCCAAACTAAACTACAGCAGCTAAGTAACTGGCAAGTACAGAAACAAAGGGCAACTTGAATGGATTTTCACCACTTTCACCAATTTGGGCCCCTGATTTCAGTGCCTTTATTTCTCTGTCCCCAAGTACATGGCACATAAGGTTTATCCTCAGGCAATATAAGCAAGACCTTTTCTCCCATCTCTTATTAGCCACAAATGCAGCAAGAATCTGAGTTTGTTAACCTCGGCTGCACACAGCAAACTGAGTGCACTGTGCCAACAGTTTGGGAGTTACAGTGCTCAAATTGCAAGAGGAAATGCAGAAGAGCAGGAAAAAACAAAGCATGTGAAGGACTGAAAGACCACCGAATGTTTTTCAGATGGCATTTGTATCTCAACTTTCCTGTATTACCAAACTGCTGTGTCTGAAATACAGATGCAAAATAATGTCATTAACATTAGAGGGATATCCAAAGTATGAGGAAAACAGCTTGCATAGATTTAAGTCTCAGCTGTGAGCCATGACTGTTTTCACAGCTTATGTGCAGGGAAACAAAAGTGCTTCATCCCGAACTCAAAAGGAAAAGAGGAGAAAGAAAAGCAGAACTTCCAATGCAAGTGATTTTGTAATGAAATTTTTTACCTCTCTGAGTAAGAATCAAAAGAAACAACTTCAACATCATTAAAATCTTCCGAATATGAAGTTTAAAATGCTGTTTTAACTGTAATGCTAATGCCACCTAACAAGGCAATCAGAAAGCTGCACGAACATTCATTCTTTGTGTGGATGTGGTAACTGCTATGGTTAGAACATTAATATCATGAACAGTTCTGCTGCTCTGGAATCCTTTTTTTACATCACAGAACACTGTTATTTGCTACCGCCGTTAATACAACAGATTAGTCAAGCATTCATACGCTGGAATAATCAAGACAAAAAAAGGTCGATTACCTTTGGACCTAAGTAAACCTCCACCTGTGCTGTCCAAGTGGAAGGACGCGAGCAGACACATTTACTGGGTGATACCTGACTTCAAAACATTGTCACCGAATTACAAAGGCGCCGCTTTACATTTCAATGCAATCAGAAACAGCACTTAGGCTAACAAGAAATAACACACAATTTTGACCCGATCAAACACTTCCATTTAAAAAAAATGCCTCCCGAGGGATTTCGGTGCCTTTCGGAAGGCGCCGCGGGGCGCGGGGCAGCTCGGCCATATTCTCACTTCAATAGCGCCACCTCGCGGCGCCGCCCGGCAGCACCGACGCCCATCACCCCCAGCTTCACGTACCGGTGAAAACAGATGGAATGAAAACCAATCTAGATCTCTCCGATTGTGAAAGCAGCAGTAAATACCGAGAAAAGACTGATTCCTGCTTGGTACGGCCGAGCTGGTTCTCTGCCTTACCCGCACGCAGCACACGCGCAGTTGGGCTGAGGGCTGCAGCTCCGACACCCACCTTTGTTATTTCCTCAGAAGCCTTCTCAAAGTCCTGCACAGTTCTACAGTAAAATCCTATTGTACAGCTCGGATCCATTTTTTTGAATGACATCTTTTTGGGAGAAGGACAGTGGAATGACTGCAACGTGCAAGATTAAAAACCATCAGATAGATTGTTAAGGTTCAGGATAGCACAGACCCAAACGTTCACTTTTTCTGCCTTAATGAACAGCCTTAACATACAATCCCCTGTATCTATGTGTTAAAACCCAGCAAATCCTTAAAGTTATTTCTTGCCCCCCAACATGCCAGTAATTCTGCCCCTCTCCACAGGCTTTATGTGTGCAAAGCCCCTTGCAGTGATGCTGCATTCGCCAAAGTTGCTGGTGGTACCGTGGCAGTTTGACATCCATCGCAGCCTGAGCAGTGCTTTATGAACGTTCCCAAGGCAGAGGAGGTGAATGTTTTTCTGCAAATTGAATCAGTAACAGCTTGTGCACTATCTCACAATTACTGCTTTACTACCACCGCCCATTGCCCCTTCCCTCCCCCAGCCTCTATAAAAGCGACATAATGGCATAATCCAACCTCTTCTATTTTCCTTTGGTAAATGAAATGGGTTAAGAAAAACCAAAACCACACACACACACAAAAACCTGTATTACAGTAATCCACAAGTAGGAAAAAAAAAACCCAAACAACCAAAGAAAAGCACGCTCTGCTTTATAAATACATATTTTTTCTTAATGCAAAATCTCTTTCCATGACAGATGATGATGTGACAGCCCTGGGAGCTGATGCTATCAGCAGCCGTGGCAGAGAAGATAAAACAAACAAGCCCAAAGCACCCTCGCCACTCTTCTTTCTTTGGCAGTATCTGAGAGAACAGACACCCATCTGCCATTTACCCTGACGGCGCTGTGTGCTCACCGATCACAGGAGCTGTGCTTTTGGTAAAGCACAAGTTAGGCTGTGGATTCACGCCGGCAGCGGAGCAGCAGCCCCGGCTCCCGCGCCGACAGGGCGGGCACAGCTCGGCACTGCAGCTAACAGCACCGCGTCCGCACGGCGCTGCAACACAGCGACCGCCCGACCTAAACGCAGGTTTGGTCACAACTTCTGACGGGGATCAGCATCCCCCAGGGCATATTGTGCTCTGTGTCCTTGCACGGTTCAATACGAGCTGCTGTGGCACGGCGCTGGGCAGCGCGGGGCTGACACCGCAACGCCGGGGCTCCGTTAGCAGCACCAGCACGGCTCCTCTGCACAGAGTCACAGCTGCTACAATGCAATTCGACTGCAGCAACAGCAACCCCTGACAGACAACGTCAAGCAGTCCCTAGGCTAGAAACCCATCTTGCAGTTTTAATATTTTTTTTTTGCTAGGCAAAGTCAATCTACAGCAGACAGCAGCACCGGTTACCTGGTGTGAGAGCATCTGACAGCGTGTTACACAGGGGTGGGTGCTGCTGCTTAGTTGCTTTTACAAACCTGAGAGCTGTTTCTATTCAACCTCTGCTAAAAAAAAACCCAAAAAAACAAAAAAACCCAATCTAAGCAAAGATTAGAATTAATATTCATCCTGGACTCTTTTTTTTTTTCTTTTTTTTCCCCCCAATTCAGGTTTCAAAAGCAGAAATTGAAGGCTGAATCTTCCGAATCTTCCTTCCTGAGTCACCAAATCCATAAAGGCTTCACGTATTTATTCTGCCTTAGATCTCACATTTCACCACCAACATTCTGCCTGCAGTTGTGCTGCACTGTTCAGGGCAGTATTCTTAATGCTACACAAATCACCACACAACAAAGAGAAGTGGGTAGGCATTTTTTTTCCACTCCTCCAAACAAATGGATTCTGGAAGCCAATACAGAGTGGATTGATTTCCAACTTATTCTGGACAATTTGTCAATTTTGAAAATACTCCCTACAGATAAATCTAACAAGCAACTATCCACACTAAGAAAGCAATTTCTGTTTACTTTTGACATTTCTGGACAAAGATATAATGCTATTAAATGCACTAAGCATTAAATTGCAATATATTTTCCGTCTGCAGAAAAGCATTACAGCGCGATCAAGCCAAGCTGGCAGCCTGCGTGCCTTCAAAATACATTTGAAAACCTTCTTATTATTTGGAAATTCATATTCATGCCAGCCTGCAGCATAATGTGCAGAATTAGTCACGGGAACAGAAGACAAAAAGATGTGTATGCTTTGTAGGCTGGCTGCTGAGCTGCAGAGCGACCTTAAGGAAGTCACTTCAGCTCCACATCCCTGCGCTCTCCCCACCTTTTGTCTGCCTTACCCAATTAAAGTGTAAAATCTTCAGAGAAGGCGCTGTGTTTTACAGCAGTTATTAGCATTAAGGGGCAAAGATCTTGGTTATAATCGCTGGCTGCTGCCACAGAGCAGCAGCAAAATAGGTGGAGAGCCAGGACTCAGCATCTCTCCCTTCAAATACCTCGACAGGGAAAATCCAAAGATATCCCAGGCAGAAACTTGGATCATTCTTAGAGATATTTTCCGATACATTTGGCTGACACTAAAATAGCAAACATGTTCTCTTCCTGCATTCAGAACCCTGTAACCTTCCAGAGGTCCCTAGAATTCCACGGGGCAGGCCATGCCACTTTCAGCATCTTGCTAAGCACTCATACTGAAAAATAGGTTTGCTTTACGTCAGCCCTAGGATTTAACATTAGCCCTTTGATACATGTGATCTCTTTCCCTAAATACTTCATACTTTTTAATGCTGTTGTGATTAAGGTATTGTGATCAATTTCCAAATATTACCTCCTTGGAACTGGTATGTTAGCAGGTATTTCTTTTCATGATAGTAATTAGAACACTGACACTCATTCACTTGACTCCTCTCAGCTGAAGTTAACTCCTAGCTGCTATATAAACCAGAAGCCATATAACTTCATTATACACCATCTGACTTGCATTCTCAGTGTACCAAGCCAATTTAAGAACACCTATTCTGTTTTTGAGCTGTGAGTTCAAGAGCTACTTAAGACAAACTTCCACTTTTGCAGGCCTTTACTGCAAACCTTCAAGAATCCAATGTGAAGTGAGAGTATTTCAGGGGGTGACAGGCATACGTATGCACCTTTTTTCCTTATTTAAATGCAGCTGGTTTTTTCTGAAGCTGCATTTCCACTTTAGGAGTGCTTCAGTGCAGAACACAGTGGTGTGAGGAATTAGCACTAATAACCAGCTCTGTTCCAGAAGCCTGGATGCTGTCCTAAGCAGTGCATGCACCCAACATGCATTTGCAGATTGACAGGAGCTGCTTTGAGGAGCCTGGGAGCTCACGAGGAAGTCGGACAGACCAAGATCAAGGAGAGTTTGTACAGATGGCACTGAGTGCTTTCACTGTGAGTACTGTGGCTATTGAACTTCTGCAGCTGATAATGTTTTCCCATGGTGCTTGTAAATGGAGTCCTTTAATAACCTCCTTGAAGCTCTATCTATTTTCAATGCAAGTTATTTGGAAAGAAGTTAAAGAAAAGGGAAAACAGTACTGTAAAATAAAGAACATGGTTTGTAACACCCAGGCACAGACACATTGCACCTACTGGCACCAAGAAAGTCACGGCCTAAAAAGGGCTGGGAGGGAAAGAAAGAGCAATCCCAGTACCAACACCTTCAGACAGCTTGATTATAAAACTCATTAAAGAAGAAACTCTGTTTCCAAACTGACTATGGGCACTTTGCAGCTTGAATTTCCAACACAATAAAATTATGAAAACACAACCAAAAATGAATGAACCCAGTGTCTATCCAAGTTCATCGGGTTTGAGATCTCCAAATGCTGGTCCTTTTCTCCAACAGAAAAAATACGTAAGTAAGCAGGCATCTAGTTTTGAGTTTTTCCAATCCTTAAAAATAAAAAGATGTAAGTTAACGATGTAAAAATTAAAACCTCATATGGCGTTTTTAACCTCTGGTCATTTCTGTTGATTATAGGCCTATAAAGAAGGGCAGAACTTTGATAAATAACTCGTAACTGTAAAACCATAAAGATGCAGCTAGCTAGAACATCTCTAAATAATTAGTGTTTGATTCATATGGGAAGAAAACAGTGCCAGGTCTATATCCATAGTACCTCAAGAGGGAAATCCTTTATGCTGACATCTACAAAAGATTGGCAGTAATGAGGATCCATGTAAATCAAACTGTCATCTGCAAGGACAAAACAGAAGACAAGTAATTCAAAAAACACCTTATTATTACACTGCTTACAATCCAATTTCTATGCAGAACAGCAGAAAAAAACACCAGCAAGTAACTGCTTGCCAGGCTGATATTCATTGACTGAAGCATAGGTTTTTGCAGGACAGATTAACTTTTGCATAATCAAACATGCTTGTATAAGCAGAATTTTTATAAAGTGATGAGACTGTCATTTAATTTTTGGTGATAAAATTACTTTTACAAACATACAATTATATTCTGGAGTTTGCATATGAAAAATGTATTGCGCTGCTTCATCCTGACAGGAAGAATATATTGCTTGTCATCTGAGCATCAGCTACCAGCACTTAAACGAGCCAAAAGTAAATACGTAAATAAGAACTGCCAGATAGGAATGGCAAAGCTCCTGAAGTTTGGTGAAACAGATAAATTATGCCTTGTTTATGCAACAAGGGAAATTAAATGTACATTTTACAGGATCCAATTACTATATGAGGCGAATGACAAATGAATGGACTTTGGTAGATATGATGAATTAATAAGGTACTCGTTTTGCTATTTTAATCATGCTATTTCCCACTGGCCCTACATTAACTTCCTAACTCTTCAAGAAAAATACTGAAGAGTCATAACATATTAAAGTACTAACCTTGAAATCCAGCAAAGTAATACGACTGCTTGGGTTTGCCACCAATAATACCAACACAATACTCAAGGCTTAAAATACCCTACAAGCAGAACATTAAATAATTAGGACAGTGCTAAACAGAAAAAGGAGCAAATGGAATCAAAATCTTTTATCTTCCTGTACTGCTTTTAGGCAGATCACTATTTTTTCTCTTCTTCACCCCCAAACTCCCCAGGTACTTGACATTAGGAATTACTCTCCTGGCCATGTCATCCTGCACATCTCCTGAGAGTTCCCAATCCAACCTGGGTTATTAAGATAAGTACCTACAAAGCAAAATAAGTCGGCGTGGAGGTCCTCTCACAAGGTTCTGTTTCTCTGTGGGGCTCATTGGGGGACTGTGTGCATCCAGTCTTGGCTGAACACAGCTCTCCATTTGCTCCCCATCAGCTCCAGCAGGAGCTGCATTTTGCCAACACTGCGTGCTTTGGAAATGGAGCCCAACTGTTCTAACACAATCAAAGCCCAAGACCATTAAATACTCTGAAGAGTGAGCAGCCTTTAAAAATCAGTTAATCATGGTGGCTTTCTGGTGGCACTGCACAAACCTTGGGTTCACTGCTTGGATGCTGGCCTGAAGTGGGACAGCAATCCAGAAGAGAACCATCTGAGCTAAAAGGAAATCTCCATTAGCTGGCAATCATACCCATATCCTCTCCTCTAGGATATCACCCATTAAAATTATAACCATTACATTATCATTGTCCAAGCTGGGAGAATTTCTCTCAACAAAGTGATTGATATTTCCTGTTCTATTAAGGCCAAGGCTTCTTGTTGAGATAAATTTTTCCTTACTCAGACAATGATAAAGTAACGGAACATGACAAAAATTGTTGCATGCCTAACTTGAGACACTAACAAAGTCAGCTTCAATGTAGTTTATCCAGCCTGAGAGAAAATGCTCATTCAAAATATAAATGAGAAGGCTTTTTGAGAAAATGTTCCCTGATACTTCACGTTACAGTAGGTTTAGGCAGAGGAGAAGGAAAGGCTGCATCAGCTGACAACGACACATCCTCTGCCAGTGAAACAGGAGGAGAGCAAAGCTATTTAGAGTAATGAATAACTGTTTAATCTATGGACATTTTCTTGTGAAACTGAATTATGAAATATTTATCAATTTTCATCCATAAATATAAAACCCTTTGTAAAAATTACCTCTGGTACTACATTCTAAAATCTGCATTTTTAACTTTAATCCAGACCCCAAGAAATTCAGTCACTGTTCAGCGAGCAGCCAAGAGAGAGACTGGGGTGACTGATAGACCCAATTGAAAGCCCTCTTATCACAGTCCCCATTATCAGCAACTGTGAGAGGCAGCGCCGCTCCTGGTGAGGCAGCACAGACCTCTCCTCAGTGAGGTGGTGCTGCTAAGCAAACCTAAATGTGCTTGGAAAGTCAGTGCCAAGCAAACATATTTCATTCTGGCAAAAAAGCGCTTTCGATAGCTAAACTGAGAAAGCCTCTGCAGGGTAGCACTGGCTACAGACACCCATCAATCATAAAAGCCAACATAAAAGAGTTGGAGTCACTTTCCTTTAGCTGAGAAAACCTTATGGAAGTTGCAAAAGCAACTGTTTGTTAGCTTACAAAGGAAAGGCCCATGCATTTTCCTGGACATGACTGATCCAAAGGCACTTTTGCACTTGATGCTGGAAGTAAAGTGAGGTTGTTGTACATCACATGTTCAGCTTAACTGTGTCAGAATTAAGCACAAATGAACTAAAACTTTTCCCAAACCGCTTGGAAAGAAAAGGAATCGGGAAAGAAAAGCTGTTTGGTAGATCATCACTGAAATGAAAGGCTTCTTTTCACCTCTGTGCCACGACTTCCTGAAATGTTGTAGAAATGTGAGTCAGAACACACAGATGATGCAGCAGAAAAGGCCAACTCTCACGTTTTGTAAATGATTCGAGAGTGTGCAACTTTAATTCTTGTTCTAATACTTAGAAGACAGCATTTCCTACTGCATCATGGAGAAAGATAAAGCAGAAGGGCAAAGAGAAGAATCTCCTCACTAAGATGAGTATCCTTGTGCTCAGTGGGGACTGCCCATTGTATTACCATCCATCTTCAAGTGTTAACACTGTAAGTGGAGCCTCCACTAAAAAAAAGAAACAGGTTGACAGAGACTTTCTTCTCCTCTCTGCTTTCTCCTTAAGATTCACTTTTCTTCCAGTTCATTTCAATTTGTGGTAAACAATTGCTACTTTTGCATCACTGCACTCAGAAGGATTCATCCCACTGGCCAGACAGTGAAGCAGTAGTTGAAGTAATGTCTAATGTCAACAAATTCTATCCCCTCTCTCAAGGTGGAGAAAATGAAAAGGGAAGGACAGGAAACAACCTCAAGGCATTTGGCATTTAAGGAAACAAGAAACAGAATATGGTATTTGCTATGTCTGTATTTTAAAATGCTGGCTGATACTTATCATAGCACAACTTTGGCAGCATATGTAACTAAATTATCATTTATAATTTGTGCCACTGCGTTAATGTCTTTTCAGATAGCTGCTTCAGGAGTAGAACAGTTTTCACTGCTTTACCAAGGGACATCAAGTGCTCTGCAATTACGTCTCATCTTGTAATAGGGAAATTTAAAATCTGTAAAGTCAAACTTTACAACCTTCAACTGTAAAATCACCACCACACATTTAATAGGTAGAAGATTGCCATCGTGAAGTCTCCTAGTGCTCCGATTTGAAAAATGATTGAACTCTCATTTCATACCTTTACAAACTCTAAGTAGTCCATGTTTGTTCTTTCTCCACCGAGTCTCACTGGAACTAATATAATTACAGCTTTTGTGTCTGTTTCTCCAGAATCCATAAAAGAACACTGTCTGTCAATAACATCTGAACTGTAGACTGAAAGGAGACACAAAAACATTGGTATGTAAGACACAGCTTTTCAGGCACACCTACAGAATGACATCACTGGGGCTGACAAAGTGTAACTGCAGCCCTTTGAAAATATCACTGTCCTGAAACACAGCTCCTGAGCAACTCCTGACATTGTAATCCTTCCTGACAATGTTATCCTTCCCTGTTTTCAGCAATATTTTGTAGCAATCAACTGCTGCTGAAGTAAGAGACGCTGCCAGGAAAATGCAGAAGGAAGAGCTTAGGTGAAAGGTAATTTAAAGGAGAAAGGTAATTTAAAACTTGAAACACTACACTAGCAGAATCATAAACGTGTTGGTAATAATAATAATCAATAATTGATTTTAATAAATATTTATGTTCACTGCCAGAAGTTAATACAAAGCGGGCGCTGAAAATGAGTGAAAATACTTCATGTAGTTACTGCTTATTCCCTCCAAATTAAGAGGGACAGGAAAATCATCACAGGGCAAAGAAATGAGAAACAAACAGAAGTCTCCACTGTCATTTTAGGTCAGGTAAGGGCATACGATGAACCAGTTTCTGTTTAAAACTGGTGTGATTGATTTCCCATCAGGGAAGGCTGTTGTTCTCCATCTTACCAGCATCAGCCGTGACATACGGAGCATTTCTGGCCGCTAAACACAGCCACTAAAACCTACATTCGAAAGACTACATGCATTACTGTAACATTTCATCGTGTTTTGGGTTGTTTTTGTCATCATTTTCTGCCCCTGGCCATTCAGAGCCCTGAGCTGCTCTGCCTGTTGTTGCTGACTCCAAGAGCCGTGCTGCAGCACGAGGAAGGCTACCTGCACCCCTGACTGGCTCTCTATCCTCCTCGCATCTCTGAACTCAAAGCAAAAAGGTCTTCTTCCTATTCTGAGGTACTGGTTCAGCATTTGTTTTCCCACTAGGAAAATGGCTAAAAAAGAAACCCTTGATGCAAAAGAAAAGAAAATGTAAATAGCAAAGCTACTCTAATTGAAATGAGATAATTTTATCTTGAAAGTAGATTCGGAAGCTGTTAGTGGCCTGCTATTCAAACAACACTGAAGCAGAATACAAAAAGGATTAACAAGAGAAGTGCTCAGGCTCCCCAAATACAAAGCAATTGCAGGCAGACAGACTTCCTGGATTCTGAATTTCACTGTCTTAGTAAGAAACCACACAAGCAATGTTTGAGGCTTTCAAGTTGTGATGTCTGAGTCTCAAAAGAGCAAACATCTGCCCGTATCAAGAACTCCTTTGTCTACATAATCTCATTTATATGGCTCCATTGTTGATTTTTTTTCTTCCTTTAGGGCTTTATTGTCGAGAGCTTATGAAAGGCATAAAGAGCATCTACAATGTTAGCAAGAATCTACAGTCACAGCATTTACCTGTACAATCCTGAGCAACATAGACTGTTACTCCCTGCAGCTCAGGGTCTCTTGCTTCTTCAACAGCTTTTCTAAGTACAAACACAAAACTATCATCTCAGGTTATAATAAAAATAACATTCAATAAACACATATTGTTTGATTTTTAGGAACACGTCGGGGTTTTTTAAGACTGTTGGTGCTTTTTCTTTTTTAATTCAAGATGCCTTCTATTTCTGGTCAATACAGATGCAGGGAGATTTTTAAGAACAGAAATCAAAAAAGCAAAACAAAAAAAAAGCAAACAAAAACACACAAAAAATACAAGTGCAACCCAGATCTAGTGTACCAGGCAATGCTTTTTCCAAGCAGAGACAGCACTGCCTCTCTACTTAGAGGAAAAAATGAAAATCACACACACACAGCCCACAAAAACACCCCAACATTACCTTACAGTGAAATTCATATTCAAATAACCAACACCTTTCCATTTAGAACATTTTTCTGTCATGTGCACTGGCATAATAAAGGCTAAATTTGCTGACAAAGAGATTATTTACAACTTGATAGATCTCCTTAGCTGACCTCAGTTCATACAAGTAGCCACACATCGGCACCCCTTCCCTCCTGAAATAAAAGCCAGCTCATAAAAAGCTACAGGGTTTTGCCAAAACTTTCTAAAAGATCACTGCAGCATTAGGCTGCCCTCAGAGGGATAAGAGTAACGCAGCTAGAAACTAAGAAGCAAATATTTGTCAGTAGTCTGAAGCATGATTATTATTCAAGGACAACATTTGTAAAGGAACTAAACTCTTCAAAATACAAGATTGGCCTCTGGCTTCCAATACACGCTTGCATTAAATGCTCACTGTCCCTTTATTCCACAGTATATCCTGAAGAACTGTTTAATACAGTCGTTCTCAAGTGATGGGAGTGCTGTGCACTGTAAGCACTGCCAGAAGAGAAGTGAGATCTGGGAAAGGAATCCTGGGTGCTGCTTCAGACCACTGCTGAGTTTGTTACACGGATGTTGGAACAGATGTTTTTTCCCCACATACTAGGGAAATAGGAAACTGCAATTTAAAGCAGGCAAAAGGAATTCTGACAGTTTCTATTACCAAGAAAAAAATTCAAAACACATAAGAAAACACGTAAGTAATGCTAACCTGTCACATCACTGCATGTATTTGCATGAACCCACACACACACACCAGAGCATTTCTGGGCAGGTTTCACCTGAGGTGAGTCTGCTTCTATACTGAATAGCAAAACTGTTCATCGACATATGGAGAAACACACAGACTTGGACTTCTTCTGCTGCAATGCCTTATTAGTGATGTAGTTTATAGGTGAACTGGTATCTAATAACATAAACGTAGATTATAAAAAAAAATCTGTAATATTCAAAGAAATGGTACAGAAAGGCACCACAGCACGGAGAAATTTGACTTTCCACTTTTTTTTTAAGCCACACTGAATGTCACAGACCCTTTACTTTTACTGTGATATAATTATAATATTAATAGTCCCATACATTTACAGTTTCACAAGAATTTGATATGTGCAAAGAAATGCTGAAAACATCAATTTTAGCTCTGACATTTCATTACACTATCAGTACATTACAGCCCCCAGGTTACAGTATAAAAAAAAAATCTATAATGTTATGCATGTTCCAAGGTTGAAAGAGTGGTTAGTTTTTAGAACATTTCACTCAATGAAGCTCTACTTAAAATGAAGCTCTACTTAAAAGCCTGGGTTTGGGAGAGACCTTGGGACTCCTACTGCCCAATGGACAGGAAAACAGGAACGTAGGCTTGTTGTGAATTAAGACCAAACAGTGGTGCTGAGTTTACTTCCTGCACCTGCTGCTATTTGCACTCCTGCCTCTGAAAAAAGCTCTCCAATTGCTGCTGATACGGACATTTTGTGAAGCCAGTAATGATCAGTGAGATGTTCAATTAAGCCGAAGTAATCTCACGGTGCTCAAAAATGCTTCTCCCATAACGTGCACAGCACTGTAACAACAAAGAATAACCAGACTTTTACCTTAAAATGTGTGCAACAAGTGCAGGCCCGTACCAATCTCCAGCAATTTTCCCAGACTTCTTTCCATATTCTATTAGCTGATGTAAGCCAAAAGCTGCCAACGGAGAGTCGCCAAACCAAGAAATTATTTTTCTGTGATAAACTTCATTTCTCATTTCACCATCGCCACAGTTTCTCCTTATTCTCTCCTGATGGTTTGACAGGATCTTGGGCTCTCTTTCTGCTGTAAGCGATGCTTCCAACGATGCTGTCAGCTTCTTAACTGTGTGGGCTGTCCAGGATTCAGAATCTGAATTTTCAATGTCCAAGGCATCTGGCCAGACCCAGGCTGCAGGGGGAATTTGAAGATGCACGTTAGGCTTACTGTTCACCTCTTGGTATAATCAGCAGAGCACCCTCCTTTCTCCCCACAGGTTCTCCAGACCAACAATGTGTACTTCATACAATAAGATGCCAGCAGTGCTAAAATGTAAACAAAGAACTGAAATGCAACAAGATTTGCTTTTATCTTCTGCTAGAAGATGGGAGGAAAGAAATACAGCTATCAGAAGTGTTGGCAAGCAATTTATGCTGAGATCACAGGTCAGACTGTGTGATCCCACTTAGCTAACATATAAAAGACTGACCTGATTACAAGGCACAGAACAGTCTCACCTATTTTAAATACAGAAATTAGCTACCAAATACCATCTGAACAGTTTCATTCACATCAAAGAAGAAGTTTCAAATCCTGATTTTTATTATAATGGTTTGTCGGACATTAAAAAAACAGGCAAGACTGGGGAAATTCTCATGTAAAAACGAATGCTGCTTCTTGGTGCAGCATCAAAGCAGACTGGCAGAAAAATACACCGCATTTCTTTAGTTAATGAATGTGTCAATTCCCAGCTTTACCTGGACTACAAGGCAAACACATTTAAATGTTGAGCACAGCATCTGCAGTGTGCATTTCTAGTAAGAGGTTTCTCTAACAATGCATCTTTCCTGTCTCGTTCCTATTAATAACATCATGGTGGTTCAGCACAACTAGAGAGCAGTAATGCTTCCCTTGTCAGATGACTAAAAGTCTCTCCCACAAGTCTGAACAACTATTTGCAACACAGAGGATGTGAGGAAATCTCTACAACAGTGACCTTACTGTTACATCAAAAACTACTCTGAAATCTTCAGTGAGCGCCCCAGAAGGCGGTGGGCAGGAGGGAACAAACGCTATGGATGAGGCTGCCAGAGAGGCTGTGATGCCCCGTCCATCCCTGGAGGTGTTCAAGGCCAGGTTGGATGGGGCCCTGGGCAGCCTGGGCTGCTGTGAAATGGGGAGGTTGGTGGCCCTGCCTGTGGGGGGGGTTGGAGATTCATCATCCTTGGGGTCCCTTCCAACCCTGGCCATTCTGTGATTCATTCTGCGAGACGCTTTTGCCCAACAAGACACATTTCAGCAAGGCTGCCATTACAGCAGCAAGAGGAATCCTTTCAAATCTTTTCAAGAACTGCAGCCCTCCTTTTAATTCTTGCTGACGTATCCATGTAAAAGTCTAAGAAACAAAAAGGAAGCACAGAGACAATTGCATTTTAATTCCAAAATCCAACTTAGGGCTCCATATGGTCACAAATATTGCAAGACCATACATGGCCTGTTCCAGACCACTTCCACTTTTGTACATATTTGGACTGCCCCAGAAATACGGCACTCTGCAATCGCCTTATCATTTTCTAAACAGAGACTCTCTGGGGACAGTGCAAAGAATTTTTTGTAACCATTGACTTGAAAAGCATAAACCTGGGGCTTTTTTATTTTGAGCTATTTCGGAATGAGCCGTCACAACCCATACTCCCAGCCCCACTCACGTTTTGGTTTGCATTTTTTTAAATGTATGTATAGAAAAAAAGTTATATTTAAGGGATTTGTATTTCTCAGTACAAGATTTTCAAATATTTTCAACCAGTTGAAAGGAATAATGTTAATGTATGTTTTATGACTTAAAATATCTTCAGCAAAAGGACACTCTGTAAGGCAAGCTGACATTTCAGTGATGTCACTACCAAGAAAGACAACTCTGTGATGCAGCTGGCTTGGGACTGTGCTCACAGCTTACATCATATTTGCATAGTAAGTACAAAGCATGATCAACACAGGCTTTCAGAACTATCTGCTACTAAAATATTCCTGAGGACTACCAAATAGCCTAGTCAACAATAAGTTGTATCCTAACTAATGCGCCTCGATGGCTTCAGGCCCTTCTTTTGGATCATTTTGGCAACAAACAGTGGTGTGAGAGGACAGGAACAGTTCTTTGAAAGGGGCAGTCTGGTAGATTATGAAAGGGATTGAGGAAAAGAGGATGAAAAGACGAGGTGGGTAACTGAGAGATCCAGAAATAGCCCTGGGCAGGACAAGGCTCAGCTTAGAAGAATGGGGCTGGAATGCATGCTCAGCCTTTGAAAGCAGAAAGTGTTCCAAGTCTCCTAAAGCTAGTTCTTTCAAACAGCTGTGATTGAAAGAGTATTCTGAGATAGACGAGGAGGGGAGAAAAAAAAGAGAAGTACATGGGGAAAGGGAGGAAATGAGCTAGTGAAAATTTCAACACAAAGAATGATCTATGGAAGTTAGATTAAAATCCTTCTATTAACTCAATATATTAATACTAGAAGAAATTGAATAATGTACAACTTAAAAACTGATAAAAGAACATCACTTTTGCTATAGCCCACAGCTATGGGCTGTGGAACTCATTTCCACATCTCCAGTTCAAGAAACGAGGAAGATTCAAGAGAATTGGACATTTACATGGCTAGTAGCAATACACAGGTATGGGATCACAATTTTTGCTTGTATTTCACTTCCAGTTTCCAACGTCTTTCTTTGACAAACCCTGTGTATGGGAACTGTTGTGTCACAGCCTGAAGCACTGATTGAGCACCTGGGGAAAGTCAGTCCTGGGAGCACAGGTGAGGGCAATTCAGCTGTGTGGCTGGAGGGGTGGAACCTGGCTCCTCATTTAGACCTCATTTAAGGACTGACTGTCACTGGGGAAGAATCTCTGGTTGGAGATCTCTCCTAGGTGAAGCCTCTTCCTGCAAGCCTAGCATCTTCTGATACAAGTGAGTAATCTTCTTCCCTTATTAGCACTTCTCTATCATGCCAGTCTTCCCATCAACACACCTTTGTTGTAACACCTTTCCCACTGTATTGCTTTCTTCAATTGCTACACCCTGCTACTCTCCTTTTCAGAAATGGAAGAGCAGATCAGCTAGAGCAATGCTCTGCCACAACATAACAAATTCTAGTATCAAGGAAAAGAAGTCCAGAACCAAAACTAGCTGGAACTTCAAATTCTGGCTGTATGGAGACTTCTGTGCTCCCACCAAAATGCCTGTGCTTAATCACACCAAATACAGAGCTCCTTGCTTGTAACTTACCTCTACCAAGAAAATGAAGCATAAGACCTTGAGCCAGCAACATCTGACCAGTTCTGAGCGTGCAGCCCCAGCCACAGTCTGTTGTGAGTGCAGACCCCTTTATCTGAGGAAATTCCTCTCGGTAGGTCAGCCATATCCTAGAGATGAAATCTTTACGAAACTCCTCAACGTTTCCTGAAATCTCTGTGTTGATTTTATCAAAGTTGGATCCCTCTGTAGAGAGTTCACCAGATTCTGTAAAGCAAAGCACAGTTTAAGTTGTAAGGTGGTAACGGGGCTTCTGTTACTGCAATGAAAATACAATATACAGCAATGTAACTAGAAAGATAGGGCAAAAGTTGGAAAAAGCAACAGTTGCTTCAAATACAAGGAGGGAAAATTGCACAGCAAATACATGAGAAGTGTGCTGGCTGAAAAAAAAGAATAAGAGCCAACAAGTGTCAGTGAAATTGCTTCTGCAAGGAAACAACTGCTCAATTCACTTAAATGTAAGTAGTCTAATAGAGACACTAAGGAAAAAAAAACTTTGAAAACTGCATTCTGGAAAATGATAATGAAGGTTTTGGTGTCACTCCTCATATGAGAATTGTCACTATGATTTTTTTTTTTTTAGAAAATGCCAGTTTGATAGGTAAATGAAGTGTGATCTGGAGGGCTGCTATGTACAGAAAGAACAAGGCTTCACAGCAAAATGCAGATGAAGCAGGTTAGGATGGGTTGCATTAGTGGTGGTGTTCAACATATTTTGAATATAAAGTTTCCAAGCTTTTCGCATTCACATTTTGAATTCAGTGATCATGAAAGAAGAATCCTCAGAGAGGATTGAAAATATATACAGAGATCTTGCCAAGTGAGACTGAAGTGTGTTATGTGATGTCTACATACCATCAGATTTGAAGTGGTAACATTTTCCCAGCAGAAAGACTGGAGAGTTTCTACTGAAGTAAGTTTTTGTTTTCAATACCCAACCTGAAATAAATGCAGAACAAATGCAAATCTGTGAGTGAATTGTGAGTGAATTACTTCCATAAGACATTGCCAGTAGCATTTGATTAAGCCGAAGGTAAGCCCCAAAAGAGGAGTATAGAGTAAATGCACAAAAATGGGTAATATTACAAAACAGAGGTGAGTGTTCTGTCTCAAGCTTAATGGTTATCCATACATGGACACTTGAATGCTAATGCAACTGTGCTACTGTGCAGAAACTGTTGAGATACAGAGGTGCTAAAGCTGAGTTCAAGTTGCTTTGTTTTGACTGGGAGTTCATTATTGTGTGGTTTGATTTGGTGGGGTTTCCATCCCCTACAATAACATACAATAGGTTCTACATATGATCAGTGGAAGTGCAAGACCATCAATTTTCCTGTGGTATTAACTAACCATGCTTCATCACAACATTAGGTTGCTTGGAGAAAACTCCTTCCATCCAGTGGGGATGGGATTTGGCCAAACACCATTTCACTTACTGTATTTCATGTTGTTCCATGCTGACATAAACTTTGATTTGATCTTTTCCACTTCATCTGTCCCTGTGGCCTCCATATTCAAATTCTAGAGGAAAAGCCATCGCTGTCTTGCAAGACATTAAATTCTGCTACTGTAAAAACAAAAATATAAATGTATCCACGGCACAGAGAACGCAGGGTGCAGTATCACTGCCTGCACGTGACCAGAAACAGTAATAAGGTTGCTGAGAGGCAATCACATGTTCCATGAATAAATAATAATAACACTTAATTCCAAACACACACTAGTAAAATTACCATACAAAGCTAAATAAAATATAATGTTCTCCAACAACTCTCTATTGCACAACAAACTGATCCAGGGCATGTAAACTGTGCTAGTGTGTGTGTATGCTCGTTCCAGTTTGCAGTGCAATGAAGAGCTGTATTTCACTGAACAGAACAGACACTATTCTTTTCCATTGAGAAGAATACAGGAAGTATCTCTGCTGTCAGATTCAGAGCATCAACAAGCATGCCTTGGCATGAGAAACTGCATTAGCTTTAGATTTCTAATCAAGACTTTCCTAAGCCACAGTGTGTGTATGTGGGAGGAACTGACAGACACAGAACATGTTTTGCTGTGGGTGCACATGGCAGAAAATAGTTACCAACAATGTGTGCAATGACATAATTCTGAACAGAATTTACTTGCCAGAAGATGAGCAGAATACTGCCATCAAATCCATGTGTAGTTTACATCCCTTCTAAATACCACCTGCGGTGCAAACAGGCTCTCTTCTGATTGAATTGTGGAGTTGTTTTTTTTTTTGCAGCAGTTTAACTGTATTACAAAAGTGAAAGAGGTAAAATGGGGGTGAAAGGCACTGCTGTGCAGATCATTCTTGTAGAAAAGTGCTTAAATTGTGTGAAAGGATGTGTGTATTTACTAGCTCTAAATTGCTGAGTGTAATTTATTGATGTTATACATACCCTCCTTATTTTAAACAGAGAATCTTGAGCTGCATCTACCTTTCCCTGTGTTGTTCTCCATCGAACTGGGATCAAAAGCAGATGAAGACACAAGCATTATTACTTCTTTCCACTGTGAGAGTGTTTTCAATAAATGAAATTTAATTGCTGATGGCATGAGTCCTACTGCTGGTATCTCGGTGAAGAGAGGGTAAAGATGTTGGGGAGTCAGTGTCTTCAGAGCCCGAAGAAGTGAAAGCACTGTTCAGAGCACTGCAGGTAGGGCATGGAACACAACTATTTATTGCCCAGGCCTTTTCTAACATGTTGTTTGTTATTCTATTATTTTATAAAAATTCATCAAGAATTTTTTGACCCAACAAGAAGCACACAAACATGTGGGAACACTGATGGCTTTCTGCTCTTGAGAAGTAACAGTTGGCAAAACCCAAGTTTGATTAGCTATGAATTAAGCTGTTTTTTTTGTAGGGGAAAGAAGAGAAAGACAGTTAAAGGTTGGGACTTGATTTGTCACCTCTCCCACTCCCACTTTTTTTGTTTAGGGAAGAAAAGGCTGCACAGATGAGCAGCACTGACTTGCTGGCCAAACTGGTGAGAGTAATGTATGCAGGAGGTGAGGTGTGCTTCCTCTGGTCAGTGCTCATGTGATCAGAGATGGCCATTTATGTAGAGACCAGTGGTTGCCACAAAAGCTAGTAACTGTAAAAGCTTCCCTGGCTAAAATTGGGAATGGAACAAGCTCTACTGTTCCTAAAAGGGCTGAAGGAAAAATGATGAAATGAGAAAAAGCTCATTTTCCTTTAAAGACAATGCGCTGTCATCTGTGCACATCCTTCTTCCAGCCCTTACGGTGTGATGCTAAACATGTGAAAAGGATTCCAAAGAAAAATGCTAACAGCCAAATCTGTTCTGTTGAAAAATACAGCCCTCCCATTATCACAAGAGCTTCAGTTCCCCAGAGATTAATGAGAGAAGGTGGCTGTGAATATAGATCTGAGCCCACTGGGCACAGTGCAACCCATTACAAACCTACAGCTGCTGGTTTATACTGGAGCTGTCTCACACAGAAGTTATGTGGGACGCTGGATGACAGCGATGGCTCTCGGGGTGAATTCTGTCCTCATGGGCTGCTGCTCCCTGCTGCGTGCAGGGGGAAATTCTTTACAGAGAGAGTGGTGAGGTGCTGGAACAGCTGCCCAGAGGCTGTGTATGCCCTGTCCATCCCTGGAGGTGTTTGAGGCCAGGTTGGATGGGGCCCTGGGCAGCCTGGTCTAGTATTAGATGGGTAGATTGGTGGCCCTGTGTGTGGTGCGGGGCTGGAGATTCAGAATCTTCCAACCCTGGCCATTCTGTGATTCCGTGCTGGGCTGCAGGCAGCTCAGTGGCTGTTCACTGGGATTTTCCCCGTACGTACGAGCAGCCCAGCAGCTGCGCTGAAGGCTGAGTAGCCTCTCAATGCGACTACACCGTTTATTAATTAAAGAATGACGACCGCCCTTAATTTTTTTTTTTTTCCTCAGTACAGAAACGGAATTTGTACAACGACAGCGAGCGCGACCCACGCGTAAACGCCTGAGGGAAGGCCGGGAGGCCGCACGGGACCTTCCAGCTGCAGGCCCGCGGCCGGCCGACATTTCCTAAAGGACGCGCGAAGCAGAACGGCGCGTAGCCGCGCTCCGTCACACCGCGCGCCACTTCATGACACCCGCTCGGACCTCCCCGCGCCGCACTCACGGCGGGGCCGTTCCCAGCCGGCCCGAGCATCGGCACCGCGCGGCCCCGGCCCGCCCCGCGCTCGCCGCTGCCCCCGACTCTGCCCGAGAATACGCGCGGCCGCCGCCGCCGTTCCGCTCCGCTTCGCCCCCCTCACCTGCCCGCGCTCGCCTTTCTCCCCCCGCCGGCGCCTCGCGGGTGCTCGACGCTTCCCCGCTCGCGCCGCCGCAGCGCCGCGGCCCTTCGCGGCCGCCGTACCTTGGGGGCGGGGCGGCGGCCTGTACAGCGGCTCTCTGCTGAGTCTCTGCTCCGGCTGACGGGCAGGATGTGGCCCGCCGCTTACCGCGCGGTGAGCCCCGTGGCGCGGCCGGCCGAGGAGCGGCCCGCAGGTGCTTAGCCGCTAGGGGCGCGCGAGGGACTACAGCTCCCAGAGGGCGCTGCGGCGGCGGGCGGCCAGGCCGGCGGCGCTCCCGCGCGGGGCATGCCGGGAGCTGTGGTCCGGCGGGAGGAGGGCTGGGCTGCGGGCGAGCCCGCGGGAAGGCGGGCGCAGGGCGCGGCGCCTGTCGTCCCCTCACGGCGCCTCGTCGCCCTCGCGCGCACCAGCTGTAGCTGCGCCACCGCGACGGGGCTCCAAAAACCTCACGTTCTGTGGGGGCTGATGGGATTTAAAACCCCAGCTGAAACTTCAGTGCACGCTAACGCTGTTAACACTTCAAATCGCTTTTTAAAGTTGATGTTCTGAGAGTACGTAGGGAGGAATCATGCCTCTCAGCTTACTGAGAGGAGCAACCTGCTAAGCGGTTGGTTGTAGCGTTTCATGAAGGCGGTTCTTCATCAGTTCTCAGCTTAAAAATAACCACTGGATGTGTGGGGAGCCAATGCCGCCCTGCCTTCCTCCTCCCCCCCCCCAAAAAAACAAACCAACAACCGAAAACACCAAAAGAAACACCAACAAAAAACTGCAGGATGCAGCTTAAATTTCATATCCCATTTCGTATCCCTGCTGCCCTCGAGTAAGGCTGTTCCTGCACTCGGCGCTGCAGGGACAGCGGCACATCTTCGAGATGGTGAGGAAAACGTGCTTTTTGTTTTTTTCCCATGTCGTGATCTGACTGCCTTCTGGAGGCTAGAGGCCATCGGGCTGCACTTACGCATTTTTTATAGCAGCACGTTATAGTACTGATCTAAAGGTGACCTTTAGAAGCGCCAACAACTGGTTTTAATGTTGGCTGCTTTTTTTTTTTTTAATGTACTGCCGCACGGATCGGGTCCATAAGCACGTAAGATCTTGGGTATTAACGTGCAGAGCAGAAGACAAACCTTGTTTCAAGGATGTAAGCGTTGGATTGGGGCCGGGATGTAGGAGCTCAGCACTCCGCTCCCTACTGCCCTTCAGCTCACCGCTGCACACCCATAAATCAGCCATCCCAGTCCTTTGGGGGAATCCTTCAAGCTCCAGCAGTGAGCCTCTCCACGCAGCAGCTGTTGCTGTTCCTTCTCAAAACCAGAAAGGAGCGGTGATGCAGGGAAAGTTGCTCTCGTGCCCTGTGCATATTCCAAGCCAAGATAAAGATTTTAAAGTAAAACACGCTTGCTGTTTGTATTAAAGTCATGAAAGACTGTCCTTACAGTCCAGGTAATCTGTCAGTGCAGAAGGAGACAGGCCTCCCGCCTTCCGAATGTTATGACCCGTTTTAGAAATAATAGTTCTTTAAAGTTTCATCTTTGCTTATGTTTTCAAAGACAAAGATGAATGTGCTTGTCTGTTTGTGTATGGTCTCGAATATTGAGAGCTCAGTAGCTCACATGGCTTGGATTTGGGTAAATATTGAACAAAGAATTATTCAGTTGATCAAATGAAATGACTATTCCCCTGCCTGAAATTAGTTGCCTGCACCTTCCTGCTTTGAAATTTAATAACCATGCCCTGATTTGATAGGCCACACAATATGCCATCTGGATATACATTGTAAATCCCTCAGGCAATCAGGTTATGAGAATGAAGATATTTATTTTCTGCTTTTTGCATCAGTCAGATCATGCAAAACAAAGCTTTGATTGCAAAATAATTCCACAGGCAACCATAAATAACTATCTGTAAAGAGAGTTTCCTTCACCTTGACTAATTCCTTCTCTGTAGGAAAGATTTGCAGAAGGAGTGGGAAAGAACATATTGTGTTCAACAGAATTCTAACGAATGTCACAAAGTTTGCACTTGCAACATTTTAATACCATAAAGGCCATGCAAACCATCCATTTGTGCTAAATTAGTATGGGATGAATAATGAAATATTTAAAATCTGTGATTATGGAAGATGTAATTTGTCTTTCCTTTTTTAGTAGGTAAGCAAAACAGGTAACACAAAGAGGCAGCATCAAAAAGACTAAGAATTAGAGAAGATGCTCTCTGCTTTATGGATATCTGAGATACCATGGTAACACAACTCCTATTCACTGCAGAATGGCAAGATAGCACCAAAATGCTGGGCAGTTAGGGGAATGAAGATGCTCCTGTATTTGCAGCTAGTCCGCTAGTTCACCTTTGGGATCTGAGCATCCACCAGTAATTTGCAATATGTTTATAAGCAGCCATTTGTGTGTTTTGTAAGCAGTGCAGACCTTAGGTCAAACAGCTGGAAAGAATTTTTCATCGTTTATTTTTAGTTTAATTTCCTAGGGAAGTAAGTCATTTCTGATCCATTTCCCTTTGGAAAGCTTGAAGACCACTCGGCAATTGAATCAGGTTTGTAGAGCCTTGAAGATACTACAGGCCTCCAGTTTTTGTGCAATAGCTGCTCAAGCAGAAAGAGACACTGTGATGGGTTAAAGGGGGAAGACTGCAATCAAGGCTGCGCTAATTCTGCTGCTCTCAGAACTGCTTGTTAGAATATTTTACTCTAAGGTTACTCCCACTCATTCAGGAGCAGAAAACCTCAGACACGCTTGTAACAGGGTTGTTTGTGCTTAGCAACACTACTGGAAATAGAATGGTTAGATAAAGAACTCAGAGCTTTGTAAAGACTACAAGTGTTTTTAATTAAAATATAACCGCTGCAATGAATATTTTGTTTCTGAAGCAAACCTGTGACTGTAGAATGTCATGGGTTTCCCAAGGAAACTGGAATCTTCAAGGTTAATAGCTAGTGCACACACACAGCAAAGCAACAAAGAAACATGTAAACCTGAGGAAACCTTTCAGGGAACAAAGGATTCTCTGGTATTGCTTTCCCAGGTGTATGCACAGACTTTGTGACTATGCTGTCAGCCCAGCTGTCCTTTTCTAGACAAGCCACCTTTCTACCAAGTGTCAGCCTGCTCACGTGTGCCTGCTGTGTCCGTCTGCTTGTGGGAGCAATTGAGGCAGCAGTATGTGCACCATCCTCAGAGCACTTCTGCAAGATGAAAGGGACAAACTGAGCATGGCTCCTGCAGAGTTGCAGTTTAGGTATTTGCCTCCACAGATTTTGCCAGTGTGATTCTGCTCGTACCACTGACTCCATTCAAAAACAGATTTTCTTACCCTCTCCTGGGATTAGGCCAGGGAAGAGCACCAGTGCCTGGGACTGCTGTTCCCAAGAAAGGAAGTGTGATCCTCCACTGGGATAGGCTCACAGGCTGGGAAATTTTGCTCTAGGCAGGAGGCTGTTTTATGCACAGCTGTTTTGCAGAAGTTGACATGATTTGAATTCAGTCCCCAGAACTGCAGCGTATCTCTCTTGCTGTGTGTAACTCCTGTGATCTTCTGATGGCAGTGAGGAAGAATATTGTTCCCTTTAAAATTGATCTTTGAAACACTACACATAGGGCACTTCGGCTCCATTAGTGTTTGCTATGCCTGTCTTGAGCTGTCTGTAAAAGAAATAGCATCGACATGAGGAATGTGAGGAAGGCTGCAGGCGCTCCAACAGTCCTCACTCCTTTACTCTGTTATCCTTAGTTTCCCATTCACCCAGTAGAATCTGGGCACTGGGCAAATGAAGCTGCTCTTTCCTGCTCCGAGAACTCCAACATCTTCACTCTTGCCACAAGTCTTGAAATGAGTTTGTTCATGTTTAGTTCCTTAACTTCAAAGAAATGACTTTCAAGAGACAGGCAGAGATTTGGCCCTTAATTAATTTAATTCGTTTCACTTAGCTGCCAGTAGATGGCTCTCTGAATTTACAGACCCATGTTTACTTCTTTGTTTATTGACTAATGCTGGACACATTTGCAGTGGAAAATGTATCCAATGTTTTTGCTTTGAGGAAGTTTATGTAAGAAGAACAAGGAAGCACTGGCTGAGTAAATGGACTGCTAACAAACAAAGCATGGGATCAGTTTGCTTCTTGCAAAATGGTTTGCAGCTACCGCACAAAAGATTTTTCTTGTGCAGAACTTAATTTAGGAGTTATCAGATTAAATGAGTTGCACCTGTGTTCAGAACATGCACTTACCAAATTTCGTTATAACCAAGTAAGATTTGTTCTCAATTAAAAAACAAAACCAAAAACAATTTAGTCCCTTATTTTAAAGGATGCATGTGGTTTATGGGAAGATGGGAAGGAATGCTGCTGAACTTACAGCAATGCTTCATTCATTAGGGCAGATGTTTCACAGACACACGTGTGTTGTAGAGCACCTTGTCTAGGCTATGAGCTTTAGACGGGTAGTTGCTCAGACCCAGCACAGCTCACAGATATAAACACAACTATTTGTTCCTTGCATTTTCTTAACAACGTTTATTAGAGAAGAGAGACTTTCAACGTGGCAGTGATGTTATGATAACTTGCTGGGCTCCTCCTGAGCCCCCACATCAGCAGGGTGACTAGAAAGGAAATGCAACAGATAGAGTGGAGCCTCATCAACCTCCACAGTGTCCCTCACCTCCCTGTTCAGCATATGCTCTGTCCTGCCGAAGCATCAATGTGCCCAGGAGAAGTGAGCATCACCCCTTTTCACTGACAAGTGTGCTTACCTGGAGCAGCAGATGCCTTATTGATGGCTGTGCAGATGGGCTAACTTCTTTGCGATGTAGTAGGGTCTTTCCAAGGCAGATTCATCCCATCTTTGGAATCACATGTAAAACAACACAAGTGCCTCCTTTTTTGCTTTCTAAAATGGGGTTAAAAATTACAGTGTGCTGAAGGAATGTCACCCTAATTTAAAGAAAATAGTTCTGTTTTCTACTCCAGGTAAAATGTGCCACACAACAGTTGCTTTTGAACCAGAAGTTGCTTGTTTCCAAAGAGATGTCTAGAGAAGTGTTTTTCACACTGAAATCCCGCATCGCAGTTTGGCCACACTCTCTTCATGAAGCATGAGTTTCTTTCTTCAGACAAAACGTTTCCTCCTATTAATTATCTTCACTTGCAAATGAGAAAACAGAGGCAGATAGGTTATGTGACTCAGCACCTGTCAGTGACAGCACTCAAAATAATACAGACATGCCACAACGTCAATCACACTGATCTGTCAGTGATATGGAGTCAGGATTTGTTGTCACCATGAATTTTAGTGTCTGGCATTGTTTTTTGATTGTGAAATACTCCCATTTTTCCCGTCATATTTCTTTTTCCTTAATTTCTCCTGGTTAGTACTCCATACACTGCAACATTCAGATTCAATCTACAGGATCTCTTTACAAGGGCCAGCCTGAGATCTCTCAGTATTTAAAGTCATTGACACCAACTTTGTAGGCTGTTGCTGGGCTGTTAGAAGGTGAGTAACAAATCTTCATTATGAGGGTGAAGTGAAGAAAGGTGAACTACCAAGGGGAAGTTCTTTCCTATGAGAGTGGTGAGGTGCTGGAACAGCTGCCCAGAGAGGCTGTGGATGCCCTGTCCATCCCTGGAGGTGTTCAAGGCCAGGCTGCATGGGGCCCTAGATGGCCTGGTCTAGTATCAAATGTGGAGGTTGGTGGCCCTGCCTGCAGCAAGGAGGTTGGAGCTTCACGATCCTTGAGGTCCCTTCCAACCCAAGATATTCTGTGATTCTATGATTCCATCCCTTGCCCCATTTTAGCATATAGCAAGTTGTACGAAGGCCCCTCACTGCACAGGAGAGACTGTTGCCATAATTCAAAGCTTGATTGCTCTCAGCTATATTTCTGCTCTTCCAGCAAGGCTGCTGTCTCTCTGGCAAGAGTGGCAGGGCAGGACGGGTGTCCCCACCTCAGCCAAAAGTTCAGAGCTCTGCTTCCTTGTGCTTTCAGATGTCAGAGCACATCTGCGTCTCACCCACTGCCCCTCTGCTGGTTGCTTCCAGCACTGCGGTGGCTGTGCTGCTGGAAGCAAGTTTGCTGCAGCTCGTCTGGCCAAGCTTCAGCTCAGGAACAGGCAGTGCAGAGCAGGGCACTGACAGATAAGTGATGGTGACCTCTGACAGCCCACACTGACAAGCCAGCTGTAGAAAGCTTTAAATAAGGGATACGTAGCTTTGGGGGATAATACTGAGCCAACTTTGCATGCACTGCCAACAAAACAAGTTCTTCTGTCAGGGGTGAGAATGAAACCTAAAATCCAGGAAGTCTCTTCATCAACCACTGACACTGTGTCTGTGTGGCAGGGTTTGGGGCTGCATTGCTCTGTGGCACCTCCTGGCAGTGACACGAATGTTCCTTTCCAGATATGCAGGATTCTCAGTTTCACTATAGAAGAGTTGGGCAGCAACATTCTCCTTTCAAGCAGAATGAAACAAGTCCTCCTGCATCTCCACTGATGGCTCTTTGGAAAAGAAATTCTATGCAAGGAAATATATTTGGTGGTTCTACATGTGAAGGATGGACAAAAACTCAGATGTAAGGAGGTGAATGAATGGCTGTTCGGCTTATCCTGCCCAACCTCTGTGATGGATTAATCCCACCTGCAATTCCACATGCCAGCAGTAGCTCAGCAGCAGAACTCTTTGTCCTGGCAGAGGCTGGGGATGTTTCCTCCCCTCCCCCGCGGTGAGGAGCAGCCCTTTCTCCATCGCATACAATGGGGCTTTGCTTTGCAGCATCCCCATCTGCGTGCAGTGTGTGCGCATCTGCGCAGCGCGTGCCAGCCCAGTTGTGTAGCAGGCCACAACCTCATCCCCACCAGATTCACTTCATACTTGCACAGAGTCTGCTCAGCTCACACATGTATATATTTGCGGATTTCAGGGCCTGACATTCCCCGTGTAACGGGTGCTGGAAGCGATCACACATCGCACACAGATGGCATCTGCCCAATTCACACTTGCAACTTTGGGACACTTCCGGGATTGCTATTAATAGTCTTCTGCTTTAGATTAATGCACGGCACGTGTCGGCGCAGCATTGGCTCTGGTTTTTCTGTGGGGACGCGGCCTGGATTCAATCTTTGCCTTTGAAGTACTGAAATAGCGTTGCACGGCAGCACGGCCTCAGGACAGAGCGATGGGAGTCGCGTCACGCCGCTTCGAGGCACCGCTGGGGCTTTGGGGCTGAGCTTAGCGCGATACGCCGGTCTCTCTTTGTTCACAACAGCCAAACCCTGCTGTTCTGAAGGAGAGCGAAGCATCACAGCGCTCGGCCTTCGCAACGGCAACGGCAACGGCAACGGCACCGGCACGGCTCAGCCCGCCGGGGAAGGAGGCGGCGCCCGCTCGGGGCCGGCGCCGGGGCTGCGGACGCTGCCGGCACTGAGCGGCGGCCGCGCCCGCGCGGGGACAATGCGTCCTCCGAGCGCCGTATGTCTGCGAGCAGCGGCACCGCGCCGCCAGCAGGGGGAGCAGCGGGCGGGCACGGCCAGCGCCGGGGGGGGAGCCGGGCCGGCAGCGCCGCGCGGGTGCGCGCCTCCGCCGAGCATTACGGCGCCCGTTCCCGGCTCCTAGTGCCGAGCGAGCCATGGCCGAGCGCCGCGCCTTCGCGCAGAAGATCAGCAGGTAGCGCGGAGCGGAGCGGGGGGACGGGGCCGGCGGGGGGCACCGCCGCGCTGCGCCGCGCCCATCGGGGTCGGCCCGGCGTCCCGGCTCCGGGGCCGCTCGGCGGGGCCCGGCGGGGCGTGCGGGGCGGGGCAGGGCCGGCTGCGGGGCCGCGCTGGGGGCCGCGGTTCCCCCGACAAAGGCGTGGTGGAGGCGGCGTGCGCGCCGTGCCGCTTCCCTGAGGGATAAACCGAACGGAGCCGTTTGAGAAGGGCAGCGGGACCGAGCCGCCCGCCGCAGCAGCTCGCTGTGCCTGCACAATGGGCCCGGCCCGCCGGTACGGCCCTTTGTGTGCGCGGGCGGGGGGCCGGCGGCCTCGGGCTCCGCATCGCGGCGTTGTGTGCGTTGTTTACTTCTTTAGTAACGAAGGAATATTTATGGAAAATCTCCCCGCGCCTTCCCGAGCCCCTTCGGGGTCTGACGGGATTCGCGGTTCTGTTGGCAGTTCTCAGCGGACGCCTCCCCAGCCCCGGCCGGTGGGGCTGAGAGCAGGAGCGAAGGCTGGGTCGTGTGTGCGTGGTAAAGTGGCGAGTATGGGAGCTGTGTCTGATCCGATGGTGGAGAAAGGCCGCCAGGAAGGGAATTGATGGAAAGGGCTGTGTAGGACTGGGGCGGCAGCGGTCCCACCCCGACGTCGCTCCTCTCAGTGCTCTGCCAGGGCTCAGCGTCTCCGGAATGCTCTGCTGCCGGGCTGTAGCCATAGAAATCATCACATGGGGGACAAATAGTAGAAGTGGGACCGAAGAAGCTCAGCAGCGTGGTGGGAAGTTCCATAAAATGGCCCTAGGATGGGTCAGTGCTGCTGGTGCACCTTCTGCCTCTGCCAGCCACCAGTTTGGCACGGTAGATAGATTTTACCCACCAAGATAGGTGCACTTTGGTGGTTCTAGTATTCATCTCACAGGGTGCTACAGCACGGGTTGCAGCTGTGCCATCTTTGTACCTTTTGATCTAATGCACTCGCGTTTTCATGCCAACCCAGTGGTGGCATTTTATGCAAGTAGAGGCAGTCTTTTCAATGTGCCAGGTTCATTTGTGGAGTTGGATGTTCTTGCATGCTGTGCTTGCTAAAGCACTGGGTAGCATGCAGTGGCATCAGCTTGGAACAGAACAGCTGTGTGTTAGGTTGGTTGTTAGGAAAGAAGGAGCAGTCGGGCACTGGCATGGGCTGCCCATGGAGTGGTGGGATCACCATCCCTGGGGGTGTGTCAGAACCATGGGGACGTGGCAGTGAGGGATGTGGCACTGGGCACAGTGGACTCAGTGATCTTAGATGTTTTTTTGAATCTCAATGATTCTGTGATCTCCAAGTCCTCGTCCTGGAGGATATCCTTATTTACATGACTGCTGCCTTTCTGCCTGGGATTTCCCATGTTGGAGTGTTGCCTTCAGGTTTGTAATTCATGGGCAGCACACCCAGTGCGTGTGAACCAAAAACCTGTGGGCAGAGATGGGTACCCAGAGGTGCTCGCACTGAGCTGTAGCCCTTCTCACACCAACACAGAATATGCTGCTCTGCAACTTAGAGTTTCAGAGGCTGAGGGATTTGGTCACAACAAGCAGCATCCGGAAGTCCCACGAGCTGTCTTGATGGCTGCTGGAAGCCCTCCCCGGCTGCATTGTTTAAAGAAGAATAGATCCATCCCATATTCACACTCTGCCCTCCGGTTTGGCTTGCTCGTTGAGGTACACATACCATTTGTCTTATTCACACACAGGAAGTGGTCACACTGCTCTTGGTTTGGCCATTTGTGTGTAATTCAGTTGGGGTGTAGTTCAGATCCGTAAATGTGAATTTCTTTAAGGCTTCTATCTTTAAGAGATAGAAGTTTCTAAGCTGCTTGTTGCAGTAGTGGGAGGAAGGAAAGAAAAAAACCATTCTCTCTTCTTTTTCTTAGAAAAACCACGGATGTGGTCTTTGCAGAACTGATTTATCATGCTTTCTTCAACCACTGCGGTACACCTCAAAGATAGGCACAGAACTCCTGTGCCCTGTGGAGTCTGTTTATCACTATTGGAGCATTTAAATACTCACGTGGGCACTTCTCAATGGCTGCTGCAGCAGTTTCAGAAAAATCTGGCCTGCTAGAAGATGTCTTTCTGACCAGGTTATACTGCTTTTCTACTGGAAGGCTTCAAGCTTCAGCAGATTTTAGCTTGAACTTTGGCCATCACATGCACTTACTAATTCTTGACCTTAGCAGAAGAAGCTCTTGAGTTAAACGTATTAGAGTGTGGTAAATGATATCTGAAATGGTTAATTTTTAATTGAAAATACACTGTTAATCATTTTTCTATGTAACTATTGGAACATCCTTCTGTAGCATCATACTACTTCTGTAGTCGCTTGTACAGTGCTCACAGAATCATAGAATCATTTGAGTTGGAAAAGGGCTTTAAAAGCCACCTGGTTCCATTCTCCTGCAATAGGAGAATGGAACCCATAGCTCCATAGGTGCTCAGAGCCCCTTCCCTGACGTTGGGTGCGTGCAGGGTTGGGGCATCCATCACGTCTCTGGGCTCTCTGTGCCAGTGCTGTAGTGTTTCTTCCATCTCTGCGTAAAAGAAGAGTTGTGTTTCTGTTCAGTGCCTCTGTTCAGCTTATATGGTGCTTGAGGGACTAGAAAAGAGTTGGTAAAGCTGAGATCCAGGCTGGCAGAGGTAAATGCAGGTGTTAAGACCTCTCAATAAAAGCCAAACAGATGTCAGTAATACATTGAGGAACATAGTAACAATTGAGGAACTCTGAACTGCCAGTCCTCCCCCAGCAGGGGCTGAGCCTACAGTCCCAGTGCTGCATCTGGCCCCCCTGGGGTTCCTGCCGCATGCTCACCCCTTCAACTCTGAGCATTGCATTTTTCCTGTTGAAGTATCCCCATATATTTTCAGGGTATGTTGTTGTTTGGCAGAGAAATGGGATGTGGAGGCCCTGTACTCTGAAGCTCAGTACTGAGCTCATAGTCCCAGCTGCTGAAGTGTGTTGTATCACACAGCCCATCTTTCCAGGGGTAAATGGTGGAAAAGTTCTGCAGATTTGGTCAGAATTCAAATAAAGAAGATGGAAGAAATGCTCTATAAACATCGTGCAGCATACATGTTTGGGCAGATGAACATAGCCTTTCCTACAAGCCTTGATCTGTGCCCTCTCATTGTCCTTAAGCCATCCTGCTGCTTCAGTGGGACCATCACCATTTGGAAGGTGCTTGGATGAGTTGTGTCCTTTCTGAATTCTGCAGCTGAACAGGATTCTTCTGGCCTGGAATAATGCCCCTTCCTTGCCCTCTGTTTTCCTGTGCATTTCAACCTCACGCTCTCCAAGTTTGATTTTTACTGGTGGAAAAACTCCATTTGTGTTGGTGTTCATTTGAAGCCCCTTTGCGTTGCCTGAACAATGTTCCAGGGAGACTGACAAACACCTTTACCCTGCCTAGGGGTAAACAGAGCTGGTGTGAAGCCTGCACCCACTGAAAGTGATAGCAAAGCTGTCACTGGCTCCCACCAGCATCAGAAATGTGGCTGCAGGAAGGTATTCAGGGAGTTTCTTCTCGTGTTCAGATGCCTTTTGCATTGTCAAAATGCTCTCACAGATAGATGGAAGTATTTTTAACACAAGCTTTAGTGCAGCTTTTTCCTCCTCTCCAAAAGTCGTGCTGCCTGCCCTGTGGATGTCTCGTGCTGGAGCCAGCAGTGCTCCAAGAAGCGTATGGGAATCCCTGACTGCTCTTTGAAAGCAAGAAGAGAACAGCTCGTCCCTACAGCTCAGCTTACTTTGTCCAAGGCTTCCTTGTTTTTCCTCAGTGTGAGACGTGCCTTTGTTCTCTCCTGAAAGGTCCAGCCCTGTGGTGATTTTCACAGGCAGGTATGTTGGGAGCTCAGCCAGGGGTGACCCTTTCCGCCTTAGCACTCAGATGCTGTCAGAAGAGCACCCCAGGTAGCATTCCGTGGTGTTTGCTGCTTTAATTGATGGTAAAGAAGAAGGGAACACATTGTTCATCTTCCGTGTTAAGAGCCCACGCTTATCCTGCAGTGGTTGGGATCAGGCTGAGTATTTCCTCAGCAGGGGGTTGTAAATCAAACCCGTTTCACTCAAAGGGAGGAAGTGGGACCTGAGGTTTTGCAGGAAGGTGGTGGTCAGGGCGTGCCTGCACTGGTATCTTACTTGGGCTCCTTGTCTGCTGTACCACGTACCCACTGACTCATGCCATGGAGCAAGCGTGGATGGTGCTGTCCTGTTGGACAGGAGGGCACACGTGGACAGCTTGTCTCGCCTGCAGCCCAAGACAGAAAACTAGCTCGTGCCATTCAGCTTTGGGAATTCCAGCCCAGTGCAGATGGTTTGCTGGACCAGGCTGCCTTTCTCAAGAGGCAAATGCTCACTGAATGTAGAGACCTGTGTTTGAGACACAAATTGCAGACATGAGCATGAGGGGTGAATCAAACATTTTGCGGTACTCTCTCAAAATGGGGCAGGCTGTGGAAAAGAGGCTTCCTCAAACTGTATGGAAAAAGTGAGATGTCTCCTATGAAATGCATGCAAGAAAAATTGAGTATTTGTATGGAGAATCAAAAAATGGCAGCTCTCACTGCGTGGTGCTGAGTAGCTTGGTGCTAAACTAGATTGTACTAGCAGTAATAGGAATAGAAACCCTTTGTTAAGCTCCATTTTGGGCAAAGATTGCCAGTTCCATTTCTGTTATTTGTTACATCCCTAAGTGTTAATGCAGCATATGATGTAGATGGGCCGGGCTGTATCCTGAGCTGGCTCTTCTGAGAAGGAGAAGAGTTTATAACCTTAATTGACATAACCCAGCACAAAAAGGGTATGAAGTTCCTTCTGAGGTCTCCACGAGCCTTTCCTTGGGAAGAATTGGTATTTCCAGTGTGCTTCTTAAGTTAAAACCAAAAAGGAATGGTTTTTCATTTTGGTAGCATCAGCCCTATAAAAGCCAAAATGTATTTTTGTGTGTAATAAAGAAAGGTGGAAGTACAAACAAATGGCTGCATTCCGTTTGCAGCTCCGAGCACTTAGAAAATGACCAGCTGTGTTTTGCTTTAGAAGCCAATTCCAAGGGGATTTTTTTTTTTTCCCTCTCCTTTGTCTGTTTCTTTCTGTGTAAACCACATGCACATAACAATAATTAACCAGTGAAGGAGGTTGAAAGGGAAAAGGCTGGAAAAGATGCACTTTAAACACAGAGATCCTGGGCTTCATGAGGCTATGAGCTGCAATTAACTGGAAGGTTTGTCTAAGGATCCCAGGTGATGTGATGAATATAAGGTAGCTGTTAAAGGGGCAGAATTTGGATACTATTTTGAGATTTATTTCTTTTTTCTGGTTATGTTTGGTGCAGTGTATTTTCTAATCTAAGAAAGCTTAGATTCTGGTGGGCATAGAAATAATGTTTGGGGTTATCATGTAGCATCCGAAGCATGATGCTTTCCAGTAGTGGTTCACTGTGTTTGTGAATGCTGTGGTACAGAAGCCAGGTAGGTCTGTGCACCAGACTGCAGGCATGGAGCAAGTTGTAGGAGATCCTGCAGAGGCCTGTAGGGGACCTGAGGTCTGCGTGCAGCCAGATCATCCCAACTACAGCCACGCTCATACCAACACAGAGCCATCACCTGGAAAAAAGGACCAGGAGTCTCCCTGCAGCTGATCTCAGAGCATGGGGCACCAGCCACACATTGGGCTCGTGGAGAGCTGCTGTAACCAGAAGGAGCTGTGCTGGATGCCTGTGGCTTCCAGCAGCCTCCCAGCAGAGGATGAGTTTCCACTTCTGGCTGTGCTTTCCACCTGGGAGCAGTGCACTTCTCATAAGTGGGGAAAGATGTTTAGTTTTTCTGGTCATGGCCAAATGCAGGCTCTGATCTGCCATTCTGCACAGAATATGTATGGAGTTAGAGATGAGGCTTAAAGCAGAGGTTGTCTACAACCCTGGGCAAGCTTTTAAATCCCATCAGCTGCAGATGCTTTATGTTTTCCATGCCGAACAGCCATCTTAATACATTCAATTTTTCCTGTAGATACTGGCAGCATGTGTGCTTTGTTTTGTATGTGCATGGTGGGATGGAGAAGATGGTTATTCTGAGGGCAGTCTGACACCCTGAGTGCTGTCCATCCCCAGCAGAAGCTGTTTGCCCTGCTTTCAGAAGCCACCCTCCAGAAGTGAAAACAGTCCCCTGCAGATAAAGGCAAACACGAAGCAAATGGCTTCTTGTAACCACGATAAATAAAACTTTTTGTTTTTTTTTCCTTCTGAAGTCTACTTTTTTAAAAGACAAATAATGCTTCCTCTGGCTAATCTCACTGCCGTCGTCCAGCATGAGGAAACATCTGCTCTTCATGGTAGGCTTGGTTGTCCCAGTCAGTTCCCATTCAGTTTCCTTCTCTAATACCAGCATCAGTTGCCTCCATGTGCCTCCACCCCTGCCCTAAATCAGGAGCAGCCTGAGGCTCAGGAAAGCTTTAACCATCTTTATGTGCAGGGTTTTAGCAGCCCTTGCACCACAGTAATGTGTCATGGTCCTACTGCCACCTTCCTTCTTTGAAAAGGGGGAGATGCTTTTGTTGTGACCCAGCTGGTTGTTTCCCTTGTGTGATTTCAGCCCACCCTATGTGGGATGGCTTTTCTGCCCCGGGGGTGGGCTGTTGGAGGGGCTGGCTGCTGGACAGAGAATGGCTGCCCGTCCTCATTGCCATGGCTGCAAAAACCAAAAGTAGGCAAGAGCTGAGAGAGCAGAGCACAGGGGAGGATGTGTGACCAAACCTGGGACTGCTGTGGGATGTGGAGAGCTCTGGAGAAGATCTTTCCATGGTAGGAACTGGAAAGAGCCTGCTGGCAACAAGTTTGTACATATGTCATGTATTCTATTGCCACGTATGTGCACTGAAGAGCAGTTCACAAAAGGAAAAAAAAATGTACTTGTAGCCTTGCTGGAATTTTGCGGTTCTCCAGGAGTTTAATATACATGGTTTATTCTCACCAGACAGCACCATTCCTGTTCCAGCTAGCACGCTAAGAGCTTGGTTTTATTCCAGCAGCAGAGTATAGCACGTTTGATTCGTTGTCTTCACTGTCATTCTTTTACAGTGGTAACGTTGTCCGTGTCTCATTTCAGAACCGTGGCGGCTGAAGTCAGGAAGCAGATCTCAGGGCAGTATGGAGGGTCCCCCCAGCTTCTCAAAAACCTCAATATTGGAGGCAGCGTCTCTCATCACACAACCGTAAGTAGTGCTTGGAACACGGAAGAGGGAAGGAGGTGTGCATGGTTATTCTGACCATTGTTCAGAAAGAAATTGCAGTGCCTGTTCACGCAGGAGTTGGACTCCTATGGTGGTTGTTATGGGTCCTTTCCAACTTGAGGTACTCTGTGGTTCTGCAGTACTGACATGTTGTTATCTTAACACTGATAACACTAAGGTAAATAATTCTGTGCAAAAAGTGCTGATTTTGGAGATGTCTGTCCTGCACATCAGTTAGTCTGGCTGGGAGTCTGTGTTCCTGCAGAAGCTTTGTAGGACACTGGGGCTCCTTTGACCAGCTCTTACTTGCTTTATCCCAGAGCAGCTTGGATGGGACATTAAATTCCACGTGCATGTCTGGGTGTCTGCAAAGAGCTCTTTGCATGCTCGTGCTCTTTAGGTACAGTATTTTAGTCTTCATTGACATTCTTAAGACTAGAACCACAGTTACAAAGCTCATCTGATCTTCAGATGTATTTTAAATATTACGGTGAAAGCTTGAATATAATTATTCCTCAGGAATGTGTATTTATTTATGTGTTCACAGTCCACTTCTAAGAGTGGTTGAAATGTAGGCCAAGTTTTCAGGAACACCCTTTCTGAAATCAGATTTTCTTGCACGGACTCTCAGTAACCTTCAAATTTTATTCAGTGTGGTGGTACAAATTTCAAGAGTTCAACAAACTTTTTCAGGCTGGAGCTGTATTTTGGATGTGTTCCTTTGATTTGGATGGGTTTGATTTGATATGCCCTGGGTCATAGAGTTTCTTCAGCAGCCGTCAACTTAGAAAACAAATACTGTAGGATCTTGCTTTCTTCAAAGAGGTTTAGATTGGTTCTGGCAGTGCTGGAAATATGCCCTGAATTTTCAGGAGTCCTCCTCTTGATCTGGAGTAATGTCTTGCGTGGTATTGTTGGTTCATATGCTTCTCTGCACCCCATGCAGTGATAAGCTTTCTTATGCAGAGCACAGATGTGTCCTTAGGGCTGGTACCATCTCAAACAGGATCTTAGAGACTAAATTGACCCCTACCTTAAAAAGAATGATTTGCTGCAGGCTGAAAGTTCATCTTTAAAGAGATACGGCTGTGCTAGAATTGCTGGGAACTGGCATTTGTGTCATTTCCCTGTACATCAGCTGTAAGTACTGGGAGAGAAGAGGGCTGGTTTGGTCAGCTGTGTGCATGGCCTTATTGCTGAGTGAGCACAAAGGAGGGAGGGGTTATGAGAACGGCATCTCCAGGGATAATGCCTTATTGTAGCAATCTCTGTAGAGATGTGGGATGATAATGCAAGACCTTGATGTGGTGGTTCTATACCATCTTTAGCACCCAGTAGTTAGGTGGAGGGGAGGCACCCCTGTTATTAGCGGCACAGACTGGATGGAGCACTTGGGGTCATGCCCCCACTTCCCTGCTGCGATGGATAGCTGAGGATTGATGTCTGCTTTTGAAGGGTCCATTGGATGTCCATCCCTCAGCTTTCTGTGCCTCGCTTGTCTCACATGATTTCATTGAGGAACAAGTTGGGTGAATTGCCCTTGTGCTCCCCTTTGCTTTCATGAAATAATATCTCTTTGGCATACCTTGCCAAGCTGTTCTTCAGCCAGACATGTATGTGATAACTATTTTTCATTGGTTGCCCATATGAATCATCTCTTCCACTTTTTGTTTCTGCATCTAAGGTTTTTTCTGCCTACTGTCGTAAAGAAGAGCTTCAGAAAAGAAGGGGACCGACTCTTTAGCAGGCTCTGTTGTGACAGAGCAAGGGGAAATGGTTTTGAGCTTGAAGAGGGTGGATTTAGGTTAGATATAAAGAAATTACAGTGAGGGTAGTGAGGCACTTAGAACAGGCTGCCCAATGGGGTGGTGGATGCCCTGTCTCTGGAGACTTTCAGAGTGAGGCTGGATCAGGCCCTGGGCAACCTGACCTAGCTGTGCTGTCCCTGTGCCTTGCAGAGCAGTTGGACTGGATGACCTTCAGAGGTCCCTTCTAGCTCTAAGGATTCTATGATACTAAGTGTACGCGCTCAAAGCTTCAGTCCTGTCAGTCTGCACATGCAATTCATAATACAGGATCAGATTTGTCGGGCACCGTCTTGTCATCTCTGTCTTTACTTCTTGGTCTCTCATTATCCTGTTGCTGGTGTGGTTTTTTTGGTAGATCTACGTGAGCATCTCTAAAATCCTAGATAAGGTCATGCTAACTGGAAGCAGGCTCTGAGCCTTTCCCATCAAAATGCGTTGCGTGACGCTTGATGCGATTAGCTGCTAGTTTGTCATCCTAAATTCTGTGCTGAGCAGAGATGCTTTTAGAAGAATGATTGACGTGGAGTAGTGTTTTATAGGAGATAGTCTGTGTGTTTAGGCAAGTCATGAGTCTGTCCTGAGGCTGCATCACATGGCAGAGGTTTTGCTTATAAGGAATTTTGGGTTAGTTTTTCTCCCTTAAGCATCCCTCAGAATCTGCTGTTCCTGTCTGTTCTGTTTGGTAGTAAAGGGGAAACATGACTTCTTTCAGTTGGAATAGTTGTTTGCTATGGAGAAGTTCAAAAGTTTACCTGTCATATTACCATTATGGTGCAGAAATGGAAGGCCCTGAATCTGTGTGGCAGTGCTGTGTAGCTGTGCTTGTGTGAAAGCCTAAAGTAGGATTCCTGGTGTGGATTTCCATATTTTACTATTTCTTTGATTGAGTTTCATGTGATTATCTCCACAATGGCAACAAGTTGTATTGCTGAAGGTGCAGCATGGACCTGGAGGACTTCTAATGATAAAGCACTCTCCTATGCAGTGCATCTTACTCCTCACACAGCTAGTTAGGATCCAGAGGAGGTCACAAAGCTGATCCACTGTTGTCTGCTGCCAACAGCAGCTGCTTCTGGGAACTCCTCTGTAAGTCTCATGATATGTGGTCTGATGTAGACATCCTTTAGCAGAAATCTATGCTTTTGTGAAAGAGTAGCCTCAGTGCTGAGCCATTGCTTCTCAGTGGCTGAAGCCAGGGCAGGAACTTCTTGCACATGACGCATTTGCATGTGGTTGAACCCAAGAGTAGTGCAAGAGATGTCAGCTGAATTTTAGCAAGTCTGTTCGCTTCTGCTTCATGAGCAACAGCCAAAATGCTGCCAAAACTGTTTCTAATTTTGTATCTGGTGATGCTGGGGGAGAAGAAGGCACTGCTTTCAACTGGCTGCACAAGTGTTTGTGGTTTATTATTGTCAACTTCCGCCCTTCTGCCACTTCAGGAGCAGCTGATTTTAATGGTGTGTTCCCCAAACCACAATGCAGGCCCAAAGCCATCAGAAGCCTTTCCTGTGTACCCTGTTGTGCTGGATGGCTCTCCTCACACGGTGCAGCCTTTGCAGCACGGAGCTTTTATTTTTGAAATCCAGAACAGAAGGCACTGATGGTTTGTTGCTGAGAAAAAGGAGCCTGTAAGGTCCTAGTGAGATGAAGGAGCTTTTCTTTTTTGAAGCTACATTTGCAAGTCACCGGTAAATAGAGCATGTGTTTGCACCTTGCCATTGGGTTTGGGCCTGTACACCACAGGCGGTGCCCTCAGCTTTGTGCATTTATTTGGTGCTTCCTGGTGGGAACCTGTACTTCTGCTCCCACTGAACAGCTGCTTCAGACGACCAGTGGGACTGAATTCTCCTTTCACACGGAGGGTGGTGAGGCACTGTTCACAGGCTGCCCAAGGAGGCTGTGGATGCCCCATCCCTGCAGGCATCCAAGGCCAGGCTGGATGTGGCTCTGGGCAGCCTGGGCTGCTGATTGGTGACCTGCACACAGCAGGGGGTTGGAAGTGATGAGCATTGTGCTCCTTTGCAACCCAGGCCATTCTGTGATTCTATGAAAACAGAGAGCTCTCACTTCCTTTCAGAGAATTCCCAGCAGCATGCGACATTTACTTTGTTTATTTGATGAACTGGACTGTTTACTATGCTCTATTATAATGCCTTGTGACTAACCACTTTCTTTTCTATTTAAGTTTGTTTTTTTTCTGTTGAGCTTCTCCTCGTGCTATGGTGCTCATTAACTGTCTGCTGACCCTGTAATTGCTGCCAAACACTGTGGTGTGGCAGAGCACTGCAGTAGTTGTACCTGGACGAAGCCGGGTTGTTGGGCAGCACAGGGATTGCCATTAGTGCTGCTGAAGTGACTGAGAGGTTTCTCCACCGCCTGATGTGCATGGCTGGCTTTACTGGCTGCCTGTTGTGCCTATTTGGCTTCAGAAGAGCAGAGTTCAGGTTTGGATCAGTTTTTTCCCCATGTTTGTGGGCCTTTAGTGTGAGCAGACAATGCTACTGAAGGACAGTATTGCATAGCTGAACACTGCTATGAGGAGGAGCGCTGTTATCAGAGTTGATAATTACTTTGGGAATGAAAGGGTGTGGATTCTTGGAGATGATGTGATCTGTCCACATCTGCTTTCAGTGCTCCATTTTCTTCATATAAAATAAAGGTGCTGACATTTATGTATCTTTGTAAGGCACTACCAGCTTTATGGGCATTATGAGGGCTAATTGAAGCTTTGTCTTGGATTTATTGGATGTCATGCTTTTGTTCTTTGTGTTCAGAGATAGTATCTAATTATTAAATAAGAGAATATAGGTTCCTTTATATATTTCCATTGTTTATTTTAGCATTGCTTAAAAGAAGAGGAAAAGATAATTTATGCAAATGAATGGAAAACACTGCAAGGGAGAACCTGACAATAAAAATGTAGGATAGAAAAGGGCGTTTTGAAGTGTTCAGAGCCAAGTAATTTTATCACCAAAATTACTAAAATGAAAAGGAAAATGAGCCAAGTCTTAATGCTCTCTCAAAGCTGATTAAGGCTTAATAGTGAGTCCCATTATATGGATTTCCTGGAGGTTGTGCCCTGCCTGCCTGGATGGTCTGTCCTCATCAGCCAGGAGAGGATGGGAGAGGCATCCACATCCTCTTCCCCTCCTCCTCCCATCAGGGGCTGCTCAT